GCATGAAGATCTAATTTCAGGGGCTTAATTTTAGCCAGGCGCTACTTTAGATAAATCGCTACTTCAGATGCGACATACATACGTCCTTTTTTTCTTTTTATAACGTGTTATCATATTATATGGACGAAGCTAGTGAAAATTGTGAAGAAACTACATTTGATCAAGAAGGAGACTTTGATATCTTGACTTTTGCTACCAAAGAAAGGTATCAGAGAATCTTTTTTCTTTTGCCGAAAATTTTTATACTTTTAATACTCAATTTATAAGCTTGATTCTTCAATATTAAGAAAAAGTAGTGGTGGTGGGATTTTAAAACGTGGAGTAAAAGATTTCGAGCCGGACGGGTCAATTCGACAAAATGACTTGTTAACTGACTCGTTAAATACCTTGCAAAATTTTTTACGAGAGGAAAGAAGTGGGTCAAGGTTCATGTTTTTAATGTTCAATTTTGATAACATCAATATCGAATACCACATGACATTATACTGTTGTCACGTGGTAAACCACGATCAGTCGTCAAATTTGCAAAGCGACGTGGCATCCAACTCCGATTAATAAAGCACATGTCACCACAATACATGGAAACCATTTTCATAATATGGGTCACTCGATAAAAGGCGAAATGTGGTTATATCCCGAAGAAGCATTGTTTTTGATGGAACGTGGTGCTTTGGCCATTAATTATGATGGCGTACCAATGTCAATGCAACATGCATACACCATGCTAATCCGAGAGTGGTTGACTCTTGAAAAATATCAGGTATGCGTGAGTAAGAATGTAATGCATTTTTTATTTATACATAACAGTTTTTATGATTTATAGGTATATGCTTACCTAAAGAGAACAGGATACACAGTTACAAGATCTTCACTACAAGATTCGTTACAAACGCCTATATCATCACAAGAAAATAAATTACAAGGAACTATCATAAAACCTCTATTTCGATATACTCCGCTATTTTTATCACATATTACTTTTATATATTTTTCATTTACCAAACTTGTTTCCAATTTTTTTAATTTCTTTATCAACTACTTGCCACAATCAGATTTACATAATGAAGAAATAAACCCTATAGTAACATCCGAATCATGTGATACTTATGGTATTTAACACATTTTTATGTCTTTGTTTATATTTTTTGAAAATTTTGTTAACATATAATAAAAAAATTCTTGATAATGCTTAGAGCAAGTTTTTACTAAATTACAAATTATCCGGAGGTGCAATGTTGATCTATCAATGGATAATGATCAAGGGTCTCTTTATAATATAGATTTTCATGTTTACAAACAATCTGAGAACAATAAATACAAAAAGAAAAATCCTGGAACACCAATTTTTTATGTAGTTGTTGCCTGGTATATATATATATTTAAATCTTGATCTTTTTTATATATTAAAATTTCATTCTATTAATTAGAATATTTTAAATTATATAGTGCCGAATCAGACCAACCACCAGTTCTTTCAATGCTTGAAAATTTATTCAAAAATGGAAATTCTAGCGTGTTATTTGCAGTAGTTGATGGTGTTAATATATCATTCTTAGAATTTAAAGATATAAACTTTATAAATATTAATGCTAAGATTATTTAAACTAGAAAAAATTTATATTGTTATATATGACAAACTGATAATTGATTAGAATAAAATGTGGGTATTGCTTAGAGATGTAAACATTTAGTAATGCTAACTAATTAGTGTGCTCTGTTAAAGCAACAAAGTTTGAAAATTTGTTTTAAGACAGTAATAGTAAATTTTTATTAATAATATCTGCCAAAATTTTTAATCAATTTTGATTGATTTACTATCATGAGAAATCACGAGTTGTCTTCTCATAAGAGTTCAGGTTAAGGGGTATTTACTAATTTCTCCCCATACTTTCTATTGGTTGGAATTTTGTGATTGTTTACATGTCACCATTTTTTTTAAAATAAGATACTTCAGTTATTAGGTTTAATAAAAAAGGTATACCAAAATTTTGCAAGGAATTTTTTTTGTTAGTACAAGAAAGGTGATTTTTTAGGTGAAATTTCAAGATTAATGTGATTTTTCGTAGTTTTGTTAATTTTCACGTTACACTATATCTTGTCCCGTGACTTATGCTGATTGGCTCAAACGATCACGTATGACATATTATAAACGCGTAATACTTCCGAAACATTGCGAGTTTAGACGATTATTCACTATCAGTGTTTCTTTTTCGCTCATCACCAAGTAAGTTTAATAAAAATTTTGTCATAGGTTATATCGGTAGTTTTGTTAAGCATGAAGAAAGTGTCTGCGGTAGGGTTGAGGCCTATCGGAAGCCAGTTATGGCGAGTCGCCATCAAGCGGTGGCCGGCTGACTTCGTTGCATCAGAACTATTATGGGGTTTGTTATCATAAAAGATGTCTGTGATAGAGTTAAGGTCTATCAGAAGCCAATTATGGCAAGTCGCCATCAAGCGGTGGCTGGTCTTAAATGAGGGACTACCCACTTTTATTAGTGTTTGATGTTTTCATTTATAATAATATTCACAATTCTCTTTTTTGACAAAGTAATAATGAGAGGAGAAAAAAGAAAAAATTCAAAGAAGAGTCGGCAAGAAGTGAATATGAACTGGATATTAAATTCTCAGGAACCAACTCCAATTGCTTTTTTTCGTTTAACCCATCCAACAGTACGTTTACGAGCCATTGAAAAGTATAGGAAATGTTTTGATTTTGCTTTAAGTCATAGTGTGGGTGAAAAGCTCGATAAGCTTAGGGCTGTGAATAATGACGTATGTATTTAATTATGTTGACAATTTTGACATAAAACAAAGTATTTCTAATGGTTGTTCTCACTTAAATAAGAAGAAATTTTACAAAGAGATTGGGAGATTTGGCTAAAAGAAAAAAAGGCTGTATGTATATTTCACGTATTTTTGAGTTTTAGGTTCGTAGTTTCTAAATTCAAATATGCTTTAATTCTAGCTTGTCGGGCAAACCACGATACATGTTTGAGCATTCAACAAGATTTTACATCAACTATGACTAACGTAAGTCACTTATCAATAGTATGATTTTGGAGTTCATACAATATTATTTAAAGAGGCTTTTACCATAGATTGTCGATGCAAAAAAAAGTGACGATAATAAGAAGAATGAATTTGATATTGAAGAGCATAGTAACTGTGTAGGAAAACATCAATTGGAAGAGGTAAATGTTAAGGAACTTAACAATGAAGGAGCTTCGGTTTCATCATTTACGAAAAAGGTGAGATCAGAAAACTATAATGTTGGTGAGAAGAATGAAGACATCTATATTAAAGCCGTTAATCTGGCTCACGAGGTACTTCACTTCATTCATGCATAACCTGGTCTTTTCAGTTCTTCTGATCTTGATGTTCATATTATATATAGGAAACAACATCAGAAATTAGGGATATTTTAAAAAAAATAGAACCAATAGAAGATCGCATTTTACAATATCGAGTTATCAATTTATCAATAAGAAGTGCTATGAACCCTCTTTATAGAGTATTGACAGAAAGTGAAAGAAAATTATTTGGATATCGGTAATTAATACGTTTTTTATAGAACTAGGAAGTATGCTCGGCTATTTATCCAATGGATAACGATAACGACAATATAGCAATATACTTTTTATTTAAGTTTGGACCATCAGAAACCGAAAAAACTAGCACTGCTCGTTATAAAAAATGGGAGTTAGAAATAAAACCTCTAGTAGACACGTATAGTAAACATATGAAAGCTGAATCGGTTTTTGATGACATTTGCTTGGATAATGCGATTGAGGCAGCATAGCGGGTTTTAATTATGATTGTCCAATTTTGTAGATCACCTCATCTTAAGAAAGTCTTATTAAAGTAACGATTTGCTACCACAAAATGAATTCGCAGTCACGAATACGAATTCGCAGATGTTACGATATAAAAATTTAAGAAATACACTTACGGCTCTACAGCATACCAAAGTAATTTGGTAATTGGCGAGGTAATTCGGAAGTTAGATGAGAGGTACGTTTGAACGTTTCAATTTAGCAATAAGTCATAAATATAATATACGAATCTATTATTGAGTTTAGTAATTTGTTTTTTGAGTTATTTTCGCTAATTTATCTTATTATGAGTTATTTATGATTCCAAAACAGATACTACCAGTGGAATAGTTTAGTGGAATAGTTTAGTGAAATAGTTTAGTAATGCAGCCTAGTAACACGCTGTGTTCTTTGTTGAAATATAAGTTTGTGAATCTTGAGATTAGAATGTAATACCACGTTTAAGATTATTAAATAAGGTTATTGAGGTTAAGATAGTTTGACATCAATAAAACTTGTATTTTGATTAAAATTGATTTATACGTATTTTATTAGATTTTAGTATATTTTCTGCATTTTCTAGTTTTTTTTCATTATTTTTTTTAATTCGTGTATTTATTTAATAAGATTCTGGTTTGTGGGATCTTGTTTGTGCTAGGCTTAAGGTCTTAGACTCTTAAATGTGAGATCTTTGTAGTAATGCTTTTATTAAGACCAATTTAGCCTTATATAAAATTATTTTGTCACAATTTAGCATATCTTCGTCTTAACCGATTTTTGATTATCGATTAACCAATTGTATTTTGCAATATCACAGGATGATCTTCAAAAATCAGCCAATCACAATGAAAGCCTGCTATGCTGATTGAGGGAAGCTGTATTCTGGAGTTTTCATTTATAAAAAACATTATGAATTAAAATGGATACAAAATGTATATGAATGTTTGTAAGTACCAGCATTTTTATGATTTATTGATTTAAATAAATCGAAGTCATATCCTGTTATTGGATTGATTGCTTTATCTTTTTTTAGCTTAATGCTTTTTATGGCACCTATCAATCAGCTATTGGACTCAGACCAGACAGAATTATCTTATAGAGAAAATTTCATAAATCCTATATTCATGAAAGTATTCGACAACTTAATGGAACTCATTTATATAAGGATGTAAGTTTTAATTCAATATTTTTTTTCATTGTTGCATGTTTTATGGTGATAACATGATATTTATCTGTTTTGTTAAACCAGTGGTGAAATCGAAAAAATGTTAAGGGTAGAGTGCATGTAGATCATTTTTATATAATTTCATTATGCAAATAATCTAAACGTAAGTAATAAAAAATATATTGCTAATAAAAATTTTATAAACATGAACAACTTCTATGTATCAAAATTTGTGTTTAGATATTAGAGCCTCTTCTTTAATGTTAGCAAAATTTTGGAGTATTATCATTTTAAATAAAATAACTTTATATATATGTGCAAGTTCTCAGTAATAAATACAAATTCTTGGTAGTAAAATTTACTCATGTAGTACAAGAAAAAAAATCTATTAATTTTCTAGAACCAAGTCTTAGACTTCCATGTCAGATGATTCAGATGATCATAAAACTCAGTATAAACGATGTTCTTTCATGAATGTGTGTGCTCAAAAATTAGATAACAAAAATACACTCCTCAGTAGGGTTCATCAAATAAAATTTATTATATTTTTTGAAAGTTCAGCCTGCTTTTTACTATATTTTTACCTTATCAAATCTGTCATTTTGTAAGGTTTTTGAAAATTTTTAAATTTCAGCCTGTTTTGTGCAGGCCTCTACTTCTTGATGATTGAATTCAGAATGATAATGAAAACAACCTAATTATTTGAGGTAATTACTCTTTTTTTCTAATATTTTGTTTACTGCTTCCTATTGCTATTTGACAACTATTTTTTATTTTCAGGCCTGATTAGCCAGAAAAGAAACCCCAAAAATCACAGCTTTAATTCAGTTTTAATATATATTTTTTTTATCTTTTATATTCTATAATTAGATATATTATGCATCAGAATAAAATTATTGTAGATTTAGAACCCATCTAGTTGATTCAAAATAAAAATAAGGTTTATTTATTAATTAAATTAAAAGTATTACACATGCAGTTTTTGCATCTTTGATTAGTAAGATAAAAACTACTTACAAAGGATATATATATTTTTTTTTAATATTTATAATGATTTTTGTTATATGTGTTTTTGCAATTGCATAATAGACACTTCTTAAATATTTATGAGCATTGAATAAATACTAATTCTAAAAACTTACTAAAACTTATCAGGATCTAACAAAGACAATTCAGACAATTTGTTAGCATCATACATAATTCTAATAATGCTGAACTTGTATTCAAGTCTATATGTATTATTCTCCAAAACTTTGAGGATCTTAAGGAGAGTGTCTTTTGATTATTATGTCTGTATTTATAGAACTCATAAAACCTTAATACAAAATCATGTCATAAAGGTTTTGCATTGACTATTAGCTAAGATATTTGGAAAACAATTCCTCTAATCATAAGTAAAAGTGCAAACATTAGAACATAGATAACATACAAAATAGTTGTAACTAAGGTAGCTATTCAAATTTTATATTATGCAACTAGATAACTATCATTAACTTGACAAATGTCTGCATCTTTAATTATGAGACAAAAATAAGTAATTTTAAGATTCACCATCAGATAGAGAGTGTTGTAAAGAGCAAAAAAGTGAATTAAGAAAAAAGTAATAAAAAATTTGTATCTTTTCTTGACAATTTATTATAATGATATGATATTTAAATATCGTATCAAATTTAAGTTATGATATTTATTGAATATTACAATATCAAATTTGGGATCTACTTAAATTGGTTGCAAATTTTATATCAATGTTGTAAAAATGAAATTTAAGTGGATTTGGAATTTTTTAATATTTTAGAGTTAGAATATAGAACAAATTCTATCTGTTCCCTTCACACCAACATTTAAAATTCTGAGCCAACCTAAGTAGATTCTAAATTGACAATGAATCTGTTCTAACATATGATATATATACTAGGTATATCACATAAGAGGACATCTATAGTCTGGGTCTATTGATTGTGAATTAAAATTTCAAGACTAAAATGTACCAAAAATATATTTTACTTCACTCTGACAAATTAGAATATATTTTTGAACTTTCTTAATATATTATTAATTTAATTTATTAAATAAATATAAATAATTAAATAAATAATAAATAAATAATAAATAAATAAATAAATCATAATCATTATAATATTTATTATCATCATTTTAAGAAATTTAATTACTGTTAAAATAATAATATTTGTGATTATTAAAATTAACAATAGAGTTATATAAGTTATAACTGCCTTTAAACAAATCTATTAGTATAATATAAATAATACGCAAAATGTTAGATTCATTATTTGGAACTCACCAATAACAACAGAAAAGAACTTATTAAGTATGAAAATTGGTCAATGCTTTATAAAAGATATTTGCCAAGTTAGAAGTATGCCAACTGCAATTAATTCAGTTTTTTTTTACTTGTTGGATTTATTTATCTTATTTAGTATTGTGAACTAGACCTCAAGTTTAATTATTCAGTTGGCAATATAAGCTTCAGTGATTTGACTTGTAAACATCATTTGTTTGTAAAATGTTCCATATTTAAAAATAATCTGGCTATAATTAAATAATTTGATATAGCAAATCTTTACTAAAAAATCTTTATAAAGGTAATGTCTTTAACATATTAACATCAAAGTTATAAATATTTGCATCTAGCTTTTATTTTTGACCTCAATGTCCAATTTTGTTGACAATTACAATTGCCATGGATCTTTTATTTTGATCCTAATTTATGCATCTCTTGACTGCTTTTGACTGTTTTTTAATATAACAGTCAGATGTTTTCTTATCAAATCCTGGCCTTTTTTCTAACAATCTCTAATAAAAAACCAATGCTCTTCTTTTAGTAAATTTTTTGACACAATTAAGGTTGTCTGCCATAATAGGTTTACTAGAGTTAGAAGTTTGTAATTGATGTAATAGTTGTAATAAGTACAATAATCTGATTACACTAATAAATAATTGCACAACGCAGTATGCTAAGCCAAGTATTAATGAGATTTTAGTGATATTAAAATTTTGTAATCTTAAAATTATTACAAAATTAAGAATATAAATTGCTAATTCAAAAAAACCAAGTACATATGTGAACAGATGCATAGATTGTCAATAATTATGCGCATTGTATACTATATATTAAAGTTCTAAAATGCGCTTGTCTGTGTTAAAAGTGGTTTAATTGACTTGCTAATACAAGCATATAGACATGAGTACTTTCAAAAGCAAACTATATTGACCTTCGAGTTAATGTCAGATCATCTAGGGTGGCTCCCAAGAGTATGGTAGTGCAGCTATGGTATATCACAGAGATAATATGGACCTTACAAAAATTAGCATAAGACATATATCTGTAATATTATTAATATTTTATATAAAATTTTAAAATTGTATTGCTTTTACTACTTACTGTCTTTATCTTGCAAAATATTAGCACTGTAAAAATTACATCACTCTTCAAAGATGAAATCTCTAAACTTTAACAACTATAATGTTGATTGACCCTTGTCTACTATTAGGCTTTATTATTTAGAAAAAAAAATATAAAATAAATTAATAAATAAAATTTAAAAAGATATAGTAACATTTACCTACATTTGTTATATATGTATCATACTATTTGTATAGTTGTATCATTTTTTAGTTTTTTTTTCTTTATTTTTTGCTTTATTATTTTTTTCTTTATTACTTTTCTTTATTATTTTTTTTTATTTTTTTTTTATTTTTCTTTATTTTATTTCTTTATTTTAATCTATTTCTTTATTTTAATCTATTTTTTTATTTTAATTTATTTTTTTATTTTAATTTATTTCTTTAATTTATTTTATTTCTTTATTGATTTTATTTCTTTACTTTATTTTTATTTATTTTATTTTATTTTATTTAGTTATTTTATCTTTGTTTTTTTTCTTTATTTTATTTCTTTATTTTATTTTTATTTTATTTATTTTATCTTTATTTTTTTTCTTATTTCATTAGAGAACAAGTAGTTTTACATCTGGTTTTGGTATTTTCACACCTTTTGAACACACATGTATTATATTATGATTATAGCAAAAATGAAGTATCATATTATATTATACGATTTTTGAGCCAGAGTATTTGGATCACACATTGTGATATTGTAATAATAATTTATATGCAAGAATGTATAAATACCAAATTTGTGTGTAAAAATTTCTGTTCCCTTTCTTTGTTTTATCTTTTTTTTATTGTTTTTTTATTTCATTTTTTTTTATTAATATAATTAATGGTAAATAAATATAAAAAGTATAAAACAGATGTATTCAACTACACCCTAACTTCATTTTTCAATACATCTTCAAAACAAACAGACTTTGCACTTCAATATATAATTCGACTTTATAATTAAATAAATTAATCTAAATAGTGCACAGATATTTGAGAATAAATCCAAAATATTTACATGGTATAAGAAATTGATTGATGAAATGCCAAACAAAAGAATCCTAATGGGTAATTTATATAATGGATGGCTTGTTAGAGAAATTACAGAGCTAAAGGTTTTGCATCTACATGAGCAGCTCTAAGCAGTCTTATTTAAAGAAGATACAGCTTCATCTGCCAGATATTATTATTATAAACCCAAAAATGGAAATAATGATTTGATTCCTTTATTGTTTAGATATTTTATTTTTTTTAGTAGAGGACAGAAAATTTAGAAGTTTAGTATTGAACATAATGAATTTTTGTGTCTTAAGTTTCATTGGTATAGTTTTGAAATCAGTTCTTTAAACCAATTAGAAGAAAAATCTGATTATTCCCTATTCAAAGATGCAAGAAATCAATTCGATCCAAATAATAAATGCTTTTTACCTTATCTGCTTGGTTTTTTGGAAGCAAGTAATGTTGCTTTTTTACAAGCAACCATTTCATATAAATATCCAAATATCTTTTCCAATTGTCAAAAGATACTAAAAGCATTATTAGAAGAAATAAAATTGTGAAATAAATTAAGAAAAAAAGTTGCTTATATAGATGAAATTATAAAAG